TTTGTCCTACAGAATAGTCAGCCATTCCCTCCAGTCATTTTCCACCAGAAAGAAACTTAGACAGTGAGACTCACAACAAAGATGAGCCTCTCAAAGTAGCCTAAGAACCGAGGAAACTTCAGGGACTTGTAAATGTCACCAGGCAAGAGCGAAGGCAGCTTGTCCTGATGAAGGATATCTTGTAATTATCCGTACTAAAGACCTTAATCTTAAATGGTTTGATCTGCTCAGGGGATAAACTGAACCAGTATGCTTACACAGTTGAGTTAATCTCTTTATGCACTGGGATTTGTTATGACTGTCATTTGTCTCTAAGACTTTTTAGTTCCATGCACACATATGGCAGTGGGGTGGGAAAGCTGATAACTATTCACTCTCAGGGCAGACACTGAGCTTCTGCTGGACTGGAATACGTGACACTGACCTGTCCTGAGGAAACTCCTCTCATGCAGGTGTAAGGCAGAAGATCTTTAGGTCTGTTTCAAGCTTTGTATCAGCTCTGCAGCTTTCTGCTATTTTCCTCACTATCTTCTCCATCATCACCCTGGCTGGCTGTGACTCAGACTCATCCATTCTCCTCCATGCTTGGAAAACAGACAACAATGAACACAGCTGGACACCAAAGAAAGCAGTTGGTCTCCTTGGTGTTTTATGTGCAAATTGTGAGAATGTGCAGAGGAAAGCCAGGCCAAGTGCTCCGTTAAACGAAAGCAGCCAGACTGCTCCAGAAGTGGCCAGCCCTGATCAGTACGGGCACTTGCCAGGGCAAAGCCTATTCACCACAAGCAGGCCCTACAAATAGCATTGTTGAGGCAAGGGTAATGATTCCTGCCCAGGGCTGGGAATGTCTGGACTCTGAGAGGCTGAAGGCACGGCCATCGGGGAGGCTGCGCCGCCCAGAGCTGCCCTCAGTGTCCCTGCACACAGGGAGCCGTTCCCAGGCAGACCTGGAGCCACAGACGACTCCGTGTCCTCTGGGTTCTTACAGTCCAAGGAGCTTCCGCATCACGGGCAGTGCTAGAGGGGCAGTGCATGGCTTCAGCCCCGTTATCTCCCGGGGCTGGGATCTCTGCTCCCCGCAGGCACCCCGGCCGCTACCGCGTCTCCGTCTCTTGAAGAGGAGGGAGGCGCTCACAGCGCGCCGCTCCCCGACGGTGCAGCCAAGCACCTGCACGGCGCTGGGCGCTGCTCTACTCTTGGAGGCGGCTGGAGAGAGCAAACCCCTCAACCCTCGCTTCGTGCTCTCAAGCGGGGGCAGCACTATCCCGGCCCTGGCTCCAAGGCGGGATCAGGAACAGGGGAACTACCCGGCGGGAGGGACCAACTGACCCACTCCGGCCCCGCAGCTCCCGCCGGATGACCAATCAGCGCCACGGGGAGGCGG